TTGCAACCATGCTCCATGTTCCATTCAGAAGGATTTGGGAGGAAGAAAAAGTGTCACCAACAGACTGGAAAGAAGGACACTTCATCAAGATGACAAAGAAACGAGATCTAAGCAAAGACATCACATTATTTTCAGTGCCAGGAAAGGTTTTCAACAGAGTGTTGCTGAACGCGATGAAAGATTCAGTAGACTCTCAACTTCGAGATTAACAGGCTGAATTTCGTAAGTATCTGTTGTGTACTGACACTAAGGCTCATTGTTGAACAAGCAGTTGAATGGAACTCCCATGATTATGGAACACTATGGTCTACCTGAGAAGGTCGTCAACATCATCCGGGATTCATACGACAGACTACTCTGCAGAGTCGTGCATAAAGGACAGTTGACAGACGCATTCCGAGTGAGGACTGGAGTCCGACAATTCTGCTTATTCTCTGTATTTCTTTTTATTCTGGTAGTTGACTGGATGAACTGATCCTTCTATCCCATAAAGACAAACAAATGCAGGTCAAGGCAGTCATTATAGCAGTAGCCTCTGCATTAGTATGTCTAAACCTACACAATGGAAAAACCAAGATCCTCAAATACAAAACAGATAATACCAACGCAATCACATTTAGTGGAGAAGCTTTGGAAGTGATGGAAACTTTCACGTATCTGGGTAGCATCATCGATGAACAAGGAGTATCAGGCGCAGATGTAAAGGCGAGAATTGGCAAAGCAAGGGTCGCATTCCTACAATTGAAGAACATATGGAACTCAAAATAACTGTCAACCAGTGTTAAAGTCACAATCTTCAATACGAACGTCAAGGCAGTTCTACTGTATGTAGCTGTAATTTGGAGAACTACCACAACCATCAGCAAAAAGGTACAAGTATTTATAAACAGTTATCTATACTAGATACTCAATATCTGTTGACCGGAAACCATCAGCAACAGCCTACTGCGAGAGAACAGACCAACTTCTAGATGAATAAGAAATTAGGAAAGGATGTTGGAAGTGAATAGGGCACACATTGAAGAAACCAAACTGCGTCATGAGGCAAGCGCTAACTTGGGATCCTGAAGGGAAACGGAAAAGAGGAAGACTGAAGAACACACTACGTTGGGTGTTGGAAGCAGACATCAAAAGGATATGTAGCAACTAGAAGGAACTTGAAAGGATTGTCCAGCACAGAGTTGGATGGAGAATACTGATAGGTGGCCTACGCTCGTCTATGAGGGTTAACAGTCGCAAGTGAATAAATAAGATCTTAATGTTCTCAGGGCATAATTCCAAGACTCACAACTTAGATCACTCTAAAACAAATTGTTTGTTTGTAATAATATGAAGATAATGTGTTGGGATCGAGAGTTTTAGAAAATTGTTATGGAAGAAATATACACTTTTTGGAATTCATGGTGTGATGATGAGCCAAACTTACCTCATGGGTAAGAATCAAGACATACAGTATAAATGATAACAGTGAATTAGAGCTGGCAAAATATTCGTAAAAACAATAAGATGTAATAATACATATTTAAAGAATGAGGATATTGTTGTGAATACTCTCTAAGAACGAAACATGATTAACTTTGATCTGTTGTAAATATATGAATCCAGAAAACTTTTTATTTGCATAACTTTAGTTTTAGATTGTAAATAGCCATTGCTTTCTGAAACATTGCAACGGTAAAAGTGACTGATAATAAATCATTTGATAGACATCCAACTATATTAGATTTAGTAGGTTAACCAGTTAAAGGAAAGCGGTCAAACATTGGTCTTACCATCTACGCTTAATGTTCTTATGCATACCCCATCTATTTAGTTAAGAAATCCCACCCTCACCTATTTTCGTACTCGAAATTATGTATTGTTTTTTAAATAATATTACTATCCTATTCTCTATATATGATAGATTTTTCTGTATATGAAATGCCAAGGTGTAAAATACACTAAATACTTGTCAGTGTCCTTAGATTTTCACAAAATCAACTTTTCACAATATATAGTAGGTTCAAGAGCAGACATCTAGAAATGTTCAACTGAATCTTATAAGTTACATCAAAGAAAGAGATAGCAGTCAAATGCCTCGAATCTTCTAAATGTTTGTGAAGAGAGGGCGTAATTATTATTTTTTTTGGCTAGAAGCAACTCCGTGGAGAAGATTTGTAGCTCAGGTGGATGATTTTGTGAACAAAACTCCACCAAAAAGCAACTCCATTTATGCGCGTTCTGTAGACTGCATTCTCCAGAGTATAATAGTGGTTTGATCAGGTGTTTTAGGGTTATTATTGTTATTATATCTCATAAATTTCACTTCTAGATCAATACTCATTCCATTGTAATGAAATACTAATTGAATGAAACACTATAAAATCCTGGATTATTGATCATCAGTTTAAATCATCACACTTCCGAATAACATAGTAGATCAAAAGTAATATAACTAAATAAGTATTCAGAATAATATGTACTTATATACTGACAACAATATAGAAAGTCGATGCATTTGTATAACTAGAACAGACTTCTTTCATAACAACTAACGTCTCCTAAAGCTGATTTCTATTTGCAAATTAAATTGTTTACATGTCTTTTACACTTTAAACTATTAGTCTTATCGTTTTTTTGACCTAAACGACATGATTTTTTTCCAGACATCACTGTATAGTGGTACACAACATTTTTGTATGAACGACATGTATCTCAACTATTTAGCGTTGCTTAATTAAATATCATAATTAAAACGTTTTTATCATTAAATAATAAGAGTTTCGGTTTACATATCTCACTAAGTATAACTATTGTAATTTAAAAGATCAAGTAATTACAATAAGAAAGTGGATAAAAGATAGCTATCAAAGTATTTCGATAAATCAATGAGAAGACGAAGTTTATCAGAATTATGTGATATATTTGCGCAATACATTTCTGACAATCTGATCACACATATACTTGTTAAGAGCATTTATATATGAAAATTAAAAGGTCAACTAGATAGGTTAAGGGTAAGTCATAACAAAGGAAAAATAATAAAATACACAAAAACAAATGTGATTACCATTCTGGATAATAAATCAGTATTACCAGGGTAGGTTAAGTGTAAGAACAAATTATTTTTGATTTCCGTATAGCCAAGGCTTCAATAAACCTTAGTATACGTCCCTGAAGTATTAACTATTACAGCAAAAAATTAATTAACTACAATATTTTTCACTAAAAGATATGGAACTGTCAATCATCTGTAAATACTATCGTTCTATTTGCTGATATGAAAATTTAAAAAAAGGTGATATCAGCAAATTCACAGAATTACATACCAGTTTGTGACTTTATTACACAGTTAGCGAATTGTATTATGTCCTTTGAATGTTCACTAACATTCTTACACAGGCTGTTTTTTTCACCTGAAAAACATATTCATATTTTAAATGACAATTATGTCGAGATATTTCTACTGAAAATGAAGGTTGAATTTGTACATTATATACAAGTCAAAATGTTATAAGTCAACTTGTCATCTTTTCAATAATATACAGATGTGTATGAAATTTTAAGGCCTCATTTTACAAGTCTTATAGGAAAGTGGTTAGGAGTTATATCTTTGAATACCGGCTGAATTGACTACATTCAATCGACTAAGTTATATGTTGACTTTGTTGTTCTTTATAGAAGTTAGAGTTTTTTGTCTACAGCTTATGAAGATAATAGAAGCTCCAGTTGTCCGTGAGACGGGGGTTGAACTTTGTATTTAAAAAAAAGTATGTCTTATATTCAGTTTTATCTCGGTCATGATCACTTGTTATTTTTAATTTACTTCATCAACTGTTCATCTTAAAATTTCCCCCACTATTTAATGACTTCACTCATCCCCCTTGAGTTTTGTTCATAACTTTTGACGGTATCATTTCATCTAATCCCCTTATTATAGTTAGCAGTGAAGAAAAAGACATTTTAATTATCTAGCTCCATCCACAATATAATCCAATATTACAAGATAGTTGAACTTAATTAAAACATGTAAAAAACACAATGTGTCCAAATGCTTCAATTTAAAACTGAAAACTGCTCGCTGAGGCTATAATTTATGGATGACCTTCGACCGACGCTAAACTGACCTTGGAAATGTCCACCTATATACTATGGCTAAATGAGCTAAATGGCTAAATAAACCAGTGTGAATAATTAGGATTAATATTTACAGTTGATAGTTAGGATTAGTAATTAGATATAGGGTTTTCATCACTAACTGACATCAGCTATAAAGCCCAAACTCTATTTCGTCAAATGAATGGATGAATTTCGCGCCAAAATTCAGGACCTATTATCCTAAATCTGATTGGTTCGTTCATAAATTATAGTCTTATCAACTGCTCAATATTTTAATACTACATAAACACTAGAGTAAAAATGTCTCGAAAAAATGTACCACATTTTTGGAAGTATGGTGTTAGATGAAAAACAATAAGTTATTTTATATGGTAGAAATGGTATGAAATCTAACACAAGGTAACCTCAGATTTCCAAATATCGTACTGACAGAGGGATTTCTACAAAGACTGTCGTATTCAGCTTGAAACTACCATTATTACTAATAGCAGTATTAGTAGCAGTAGTATTAGAGTTCTAATTTTATCATGTATCTGTGCTACTATCCATGCTACTACTAATATGTCGATCATTCCTGTGTAATATACAAGTCTCTATAAGCAAGACATATATAACATAACAGTTACTAAATGTTGTCTCAAGGACTCAAATATAATTGTCATTAATATTATAAAATAAAAAATATAGGCTATTATTATTCCCGTTATTGTATTGCGCGCACAATAATTATTGGTCGTTTAGATGGCCCAATCACTAATCCTAATTTAAATTATTTTCCGTACAGTTTTATAGTTTATATAAACAAAACTAATAATAATAAAAAGAAGGTAAATAATAAAGGTATGATGATGAACATAATAATTGTTTGTGTGTATATAACATCTAGTAAACATACATATTCTGATGTCCCATTGGCATAACCAAATAAACTTACATAAGAGAGAGATATGGTTGGTATCTGCCTATAAAAACTATCAGATGGATAAAATTGCACAGTATAAGGGCAGAAATAAGCCTAAAACTGGAAAGTTTATCACTGGTGGAATAAATATTTGTTCATACGCTATTCCTCAGCAATTTTCTATTCGTATCTTTTAGTTATTTATATGTGTGTATGTGTATATGAATGGATATGTGTAACGCATACAGTTATCTGGAAAGGAAAAACAAACAACTGAAAGTAATTTATTTCATCTACGTGTATGCAGATATATTTAATACAAGTTAAACTGGATAGAGAATATATGAATTTAAATGTGATTGGAATAAATACATTTTATCCTTATACAAATATGACTACTACCGACAATAATACTAATATTAATAATCATAATAATAATAGTGCTCAATTGCATAACCTTGTGGATAACACACATGTAGATTATTTTAACTCGCTATGTTCTTTGAAACCAGATATTCATACAACGTTTTCTGCTACCATTGATAATCATAATAATCACAACTTTTTCAGTAGTTCAACGGACATTCCTGTTGAGTCTATGTTGAATAATTATGGTTTATTCGACCCGACGACATCTCATTTACCTAGATTTGCTAGTACCGTAACCACTTGCACAATCAGTAACATAGGTAAAAATAGCAGTGCAGTTAACAACAACAATAGTTATCTATACTATCATGGTCGCAGCTATTCGCGTAGAACGAATGCAGATAGGATAAGAAAGGTGAAACATTCACGAATTAACAGAGCTTTACCATCGTCATCCGCATCGTCATCGTTACTATGGTCAGGGAAGAAAACAAAATCATCAATAATGAATTATGGCAAACTTCACAACCGTGGAATAAGATTACATTCAGTAAAACCACCTTATTCATATATTGCATTAATTACAATGGCTATTCTACATTCACCACATAAACATTTAACATTAGGTGGAATTTGTGATTTTATTATGTCGAATTTTCCTTACTACCGTGAACGTTTTCCAGCATGGCAAAATTCTATAAGACATAATTTATCATTGAACGATTGTTTTATGAAGATACCACGTGAACCTGGTAATCCAGGCAAAGGTAATTACTGGACCTTGGATCCAAATTCTTTAGATATGTTTGATAATGGCAGTTTTTTACGACGACGTAAACGTTATAAACGTCTAAGTTTTGACAATAGCAGCAATGCTTGTTTTTACAATTATTCCGAATTTATCGACATCTGTAATAGTAAAAGACAAAATAATGATCGCGTTAATTTATTAAATCAAACTGAGACTTCTACTACTTCTTCTACCGCTATGGATAGCAGGATATGTAGTAGCATTTATCCTCAAGTCATTGTGGACAAAAACAGTAATGTCCTTACTAACGCATATCATTCTGACTTTGATAGTAATACACGTGTTTTAATCAAGACAAATACTACTACCAAAACAAGTAAATCCAGTAATGCTTCATCACTAAATGAAAATGTTTTAAATGTTTGCACCACCAAAAATGATTTAAAGAATGACTGTATAGTGGATAACTGTATTCAAGATAATAAATATCTTGAGGAAAAATCGGAAAACATGTTAGAGTTAATTGACAAAACTACTATTCCATCAGCGTGTACAATATCTATGTGTACACCACATTCTGTTCATAATTCCAATTTACCTCTGACGTCTTCATCATCTGCATCGTCATCATTAGTGAGTGGACCGTTATCCTCTTGTTCAGTTGATCCGAATATACCTTATATATTCCATTCGCTGTATCAAACACAAAATAATTCAGATATAAATAATCAAGAATACATACGAAATTCACTGTCATTTAATATTGATCACATTTTAAATTCAACTAAGAAGAACAATGAGACAACCTCATTACTAACATCTTCAGTCTTGCCCTTCGATTCTTTATCTCATTCTTCTTCTTCTTCTTCTTCTTCATCATCATCATCATTATTATTATTTACACCACTGGAAAAGAGAAATTCTGAAGTAGTTAAACCATTGTTTCCTTCATCTTTATTGTCACGTGAGTCTTATACTCATTTTTTATCAAATCTGTCCAATAATACTACTATCATCAATTCTAAATTAAATAATAATAATATCACTGATGATGAAATGAATTTATTTAACAATGAAAAATTATTTCATCATGCTTATTTTATGCAAATTTTATCAAATCGAAAATTTAATTTTCCAGAGCATTTATCATCATATTGGAATGGAATTGAATCAATGGATTGGTTTAATACAAATATAAATATTCAACTTTTATCTCATTTTATCCAATCTGTTCTACATACAAATTAATCAGGAATTGAGAAAAAAAGAAGAAAAAAAAATTCTTTTCTTCAAAAAAAAAACAACAAAACAAACAAAGAACAAACCAATTTATGTTACGGATTGAAAATGATTTATTTGTATATGACTTTATAAAGTGGTCTATATATATGTTCTTCAATGGAAACAATAAATTCTTTGCTTCTATTGTATAATGAACATGAATCTCAGGTGGTTTTGTTTTGTTTGTTGACCTTTTTTTTCTGTCAAAGAAATCACCTAATGATTATGATTGAACAAAATTATTCTCTTTACACAACTTAACTGTTTCAATCTAATATGTAACTTAAGTTCAAATGATTTCTTCTTTTTTTTAAACAAAGAAGTTATGCATAATATCATTATATTGTTCATATATATATAAGTTGCTTATAGCATATGTATATTGTAATGATTCTAAAATAAGTCTTTTTTTTCATATTTTATTAAGAATTTTCTTGTTCTCATTCATTTTTCAATTCGTTTCTTTATTGAATTTACTTGATGTCAATTTTGATTTAGTCTTTTGTTTGTTTGTTTGTTTTACTCTTAGATAAATATAATTTAAATTGTATAGTATAGAGTTATTTATTCATCGATTATCTTATTTATTTGTTTAATTGATTACATCATACTTTAGTAATTATTAATTACATAACAATTACAAGTATTGGAAACAATAATCAGTCCCTATCATAATAATAATAATAGTAATAATAATGATTATTATTATTGTTATTACTACTAGTAATGTGTAGATCATCAACAACAAGACAATTTATACTACTAATTTCATTATAAATGTTTAAATGACAATAATAATAATAATAATCATAAAGTTATTTTAATAAATTCCTTATTTATTAATAATCATTGTTAATCTAATAATAACATTGAATTGTACTGAATGTATCATCGAACGTATTTATTATAAATTATGTAATAAATATCTGTTCATTTAACCTTGTTTGTTTCGTTTGTTTTCTTTTTTTCAAAATTAAATTATACAGATCTATAATCGTTCAATTTAATGATCTTATATTTAATTATTTATACCCCTAATCATATAGTTCGTTTATTCAAAAAGAGAAAAAATGTTCGTCTTTATTAAACTAATAAATATGAATATAATAAAAGTATGTTTTATTTTCTTATCATTATTATTGTTATTACTATTACTATTATTAGTAGTATTATTATTATTTCTTAATGGAATAAAACATCAAATTGTATACATATATGTATAACAATGTCAAATATGGAATTGAATTTTGAAAAAGACAAATCGTTTAAATGACCTTAGATATTAATGAAACTTATTTGAAATTCTCAACAACAACAACCACAAATTATTAACAATAATAATTTTCAAATAATTCAGGTAAATTCATTCACAATATTTTATAATAATTACATAATTCAAACTGTTATTAGAGTAAGGAGTTGAGTTATTTTATTATTAGAATGAAGGAATGAATTTTACAGATTGAAATCACAGACCTGGTTGAACTTCACTGGTAACGACTTTTCACTAGAACTCCAGAAGTATCTCTTCAAGTTAGTCACTAGTGAGCAGATGATTATTATCAGAAGGGGTTTGTGGAGATTTTAGACTGATAGGTCCTGGGTTCGAATCTCGCGGGGTGCGGGATCGTGAATGCGCACTGCTGAGGAGTCCCCTACTGGGACAAAACGGCCATCCAATGCTTCCAGGTTTTCCATGGTGGTCTAGCTTCAATCGACTCATGATTTCAATCTGTGAAATTTCTAAAATCTCCAGAAACCCCTTCTGAGAATGAATTTTAATCAGTTTTTTTGTGTATTGAATGTTTCAAATGAAAGGTATTGAGTTTGAGTTACAATATGAAAATCAATACTAGGAGTTAGGTATATTATTCGATTGATAAGTGTTAGAAGAATTAAATGTTTGTTTTTAAGTAACATTGTTAATCACAATCTATCTGTTGTAATTTTTCACCATATTTATATTTGTTTAGTGATGTTTATTGTATTATTAGCAAAAAACACTAAAGAACTGGAAAACTACTTTATTTATGTATGAGTTTCCTTAGAATTGTACACTTTTAATAATCTATTCAAAAGAATTGGGGCTAACGCTTTATGATCTTACAACAAATATGAAACGAACACTTATGTACTTCGTTATACGCTGGTATACTAAGATCAAGAAAGATTTTATAGTTCTACTTTTCCTGTTAGTTTGTGATTTGATTTTTACGGTAACTTATTATCCATATCAGTATAGGGGTTGTGGAGATATATCTAGGAAAAACTGAGGAAATAATAAAACTGAGCTGATACAAAGAAAAATCTAAATGACATGTTCTTGAATTACCATATTAGTTTACCCTTAAAAGGATCAATAATCATAAGCTTGAGTAGGATGGAATGTCATACAATCTTTATTTATAACGTAAGCAAAGGTAGTCAATAAATGACACATATACTTACTTTGTTATTGAAACATAACTTTCACTATGATAAGTTATTTGCCAAAGCGCTAAGGACAAGAAACATTGGTTATTTGTTTAATCTTAGTTTGGGATTCTGCAAATACACATAATTATAACTTGAAACCTCTAGGTTTCTTGGTAAATGTAATGCCTATAAACCACTAAGTAATTGCATGATGGTTCGCTTGGAAAAGATAACTGCCTTGCTCCCAACTTTACTGACTTTACAGCTAATGGTTTCTTATTAGAACTTCGGAAAAGTTATCTAGTATGTAACCGTTAGTGAACATCAAGGTTGTTCTATGAAGATTCTGTATAGTTTGAAGGTTATTTACATCACGAAGTCCCATTAGCTGGATATTTATTTCTATCCAAATAGTCCATTTTTTTATCATCCACGTTTATCTATACAGTAATATTTATGAGTACCAGTTCGATTATTACGGAAGCTAAGTAATATTAATGTTGTAGAAGGTTAACTCACGGGAAAAAAAGGGAAAATAAAAACACCAACTTTTCCCCTCGTTATAAACAATGTAATGACGAAATAATGTATTCAATTTTTATCTTTGATCTGATTCTAAATTACATGAGCTACATAAATGTATAATGTGCAAGAAAACGGAAGAAAATCTGAGAATGATAAAATATATCAACATTTAAAGAACGACTTCATGAAAATTTTATACGTTATTTCATAAAGGTGTCATAATGAATGCATAATCAGCTTACATTCAAAACATGACAATAAAAGACGTTTAATGGCCTGTAGACATTTAAGCTCATCAATTAGCTATACTTTTACAAATACTAACCACATTTATTTTGTTCCGTATCGTGGTGTAAAGGATAGTGGTTTACTAAATTAAAGAAGAAAACAGTGGAACTGTGATTTCGTAATCAGTTCTTGATCATATCAATTTGAAGACAGTGAGTAAATGCAACATGTCGTCAGTCTCGTGAAGAATTATTAATCGATCATATTGTTTTATTTCTATACAATCAGTTGATCAGTATTCTATTAATTAGAATATATTCTCATTGAGTGAAGACCAAGTATATGATTGTATCTTTTTTAGCCGATTATTATTTAAGTTAATACTTAATGAAAAGTTTCAAGAATCAGCTCAATGAACAATAACTAAAAGCATATGTATGTTTCTGAGAGTACATTAATGTTGAAAAAACATGACGAGTAAAAATATCTAAAATTTTTTTAACATAGGCAAACAATTTTGTAGTCAACAACACAAATTGATGTTAGTTAAACAACCACTAAAAACTACGAAGTACTGAATAGCTCTGTCAATCTAAGATGGGACTCCTCAACAGTGTATATCTAAGACCACACCTGATATTATCAGATAAGCGTGTTGAATCCGAAAGGTATCAAATAAACGTTCTTAACATTTTGAGAAATATACACTCTCAACACTTATATTGTTTAAGATTGCCCAGATTATCGGTAACCTTAGTGTTTAAGTCTTATGGTTATGAATCATAAGCAATTGACTGCCAACGGATAACAGATATCAAAGTGACTGATATTCGTGATTTAATAAATGAGTCCAAAGAATAAAATATTGGTTACTCTTAGATAGTGATAATTAAGCTCTGATCAGTATGACAAACAAGAGAATTCAAAATTGTATAAAAAGTATACCCATCGCTCAATATTTTCGATGATATCGGATCATTATGAAAACCAACATGGTATTTTAACAATTAACTAGAACAGTTTAAAGTTTAAAATTACACTTCAATTAAAGTTTTGTGACGAAAATTATGTAATATATATATACAAGGATCATCTTATGGAAAACTGATTAACTTGATCCCTCTCAATAAACAACAATCTGTAAAAAATACTTTTACTGACTTAGTAACTTTACTATATCAAAGATCAAGTTACTGAGAACTGAGGATGTTGAGACGATAAGTAATAATACGTGAAATAGCTACTTTATTTAATAATACAAGCTTTATTACAACTAGGAATTCTAGTCACCGACTATTCACTATTACAACACGCTTGTGCAAAGGGGTGAGGGAAGAGGCTATCAGGACGCAGTAGCTGAGTGGATAACGCGATGGCGTTTGAAGCGAATAGTAGTGGGTTCGAGTCCCAGAGTGAACATCAACTTAGATGCAGGCACATCCGGACGACGAGTCCCAAATAGGACGAAACGCGCGTCCTCGATTCCACTGCTAGCCACTATCCATCATTGCTTAAAAAGCTTGTGAATTAAGGCAATATCGAGGCATACGCACAGTATGCACATATGCCAATAACAGACTGATCTATTGCAGTCTTAAACCTCAATAGGAAGGTACAAGCAAAAATACCAAATGAATTTGAAAAGTAATGACTTTTGAAAAATAAGTTAAGTTAGCGTTGAGGAGTCTCATACTAGGACGAAACGGCCATTCAATGCTTCCAGGTTTTCCATGGTGGTCTAGCTTTAATCGACTCAATAATTCAACCACTAAAAATTATTACCATCTCCACAAAAACCCCTTTCTGAAAATAATAAATATTTAATGAGATTTTTTTGTTTATTATTCCAAACTGAAAATGATTTACGTTGCAATACATTAGAAGACAAAAAACTGTAATGTATACTTTATATAAAAATAATGAATTAATTTCTGAGTAATTTATCATATCAGTCTTGTAGGAATAAACAAATTTATTCAGGTCCACTACCAGTAGTGTCATTCGTTTAGAATGATTTTTTGAGTACAATTTGAACAGATTTGTGTAAATTTATCGAGTCCATACTCCGTGATATAAACGTATTGTGCTCCCTGTGAGACCTGACCATTTGAATTCAACTTCTACCCGAGTTACGAGCTCTCGCTGCCGAGAAGTTCTCTGGCCAAGATCAAAACAGACGTCTACTGCTCGATGGTTTTCAATGTTTTCTACCTGTGGTGAAATTATTGTGTAAACCACTTAAAAATTGTACAATTCTTAGATGGTTAACATTTTGACAATAAGTTATTATTATATTCACTGAATAGATT